ACAGTCCTCCGTCCGTCGGGGGTGAGTGTGCTCTTGGCACTGACGTCCTTGAGGACACGCAGGAGGACTTTGAGTGTCTTGCAGCTGCTGTACCTCATCTCGTGGCCATGCTGCTTGCCCCTGAGGGAGACCCGGATGCACCAGACATCCCGACCTCGTGCTCTTACGCAGAGGCGATTACGGGTCCCTACTCCTCTCGTTGGCAGACAGCCTTGGACGCAGAGATGGCATCCTTGAAGTCCACAGGCACCTGCGTCGACGCAGTTCCCCCTTCTAGGGCGAACATAGTCGATGGCTTGTGGATTTTCAGGGTGAAGAAGCCGGCGGGTTCTCCGCCTGCCTTCAAGGCTCGTTATGTTGCACGAGGCTTCAGTCAGCGATAGGGAGTTGACTTCTTCCAGACCTTCTCCCCTACCCCGAAGATGACCACACTTAGGGTGTTGCTGCACGTCGCAGCCCAGCGTGACTACGAGCTGCACTCTCTTGACTTCAGCACATCTTTCTTTCAGGGCAGCGTGCACGAGGAGATCTGGCTGCGCCGCCCATCTGGCTTCACTGGGTCGTTTCCTGCAGGTACCCAGTGGAGCCTCCGGCGGCCAGTCTACGGTCTCCGCCAGGCGCCTCGCGAATGGCACGACACACTGAGGGCTACACTTGCGGCTCTTGGGTTTGCTCCGTGGACTGCTGACTCGTCACTGTTTCTACGCACCGAAACTTTGCTGACCGCGTTCTACGTCCTCGTGTACGTCGACGACTTGGTCTTTGCCACTGCTAACACTAAGGCACTGGCCCTTGTGAAGTCGGAGCTGCAGAAGAGACACACCTGCACTATCCTGGGTGAGCTGCGCAGCTATCTTGGCTTGCAGATCACCCGGGACAGAGCACAGGGCACCATCACCCTGACTCAGTCACACATGGTGCACCAGGTCCTTCAGCGCTTCGGCTCCTGGTACTCGCCACAGTCCACTCCTCTGCCTACCGGTCACTCGCTCTCAGCTCCACCTTCGGACGAGTCCGTAGAGCCGAGTGGCCTGTATCCAGAGCTTGTGGGCTGCCTCATGTACCTGATGACTTGCACTCGACCTAACCTTGCCTACCCTCTTAGCATCCTGCCACGCTACGTTGCGCCCGGGAGACACCGACCAGAGCACTCGGAGGCCGCTAAGAGGGTGTTGCGCTACTTGTGCAGTACTTCGGGCATGGGGCTCGTGCTTTGAGGACGGGGTCCAGTTGTCCTCAGTGGACACGCAGACGCTTCTTGGGTTGACGACTTGGCTACGCAGCAGTCGTCACAGGGTTACACCTTCAGCCTTGGTTCCTGCTCTGTTTCCTGGCGGTCTACCCGCTCGTCCTCGGTTCTCAGCTCCAGTTGTGAGGCTGAGATCTACGCAGGGGCCATCGCTGCACAGGAGTTACGCTGGCTCACCTACCTGTTGGCCGACCTGAGAGAGCAGCCTCGTTCTCCTCCAGTTCTGTACGTAGACAACAAGGCCATGATTGTCTTGTGTCAGGAGCACAGACTCGAGCACAGAACTAAGCACATCGCTCTGCGGTACTTCCTTGCTCAAGAGTTGCAGCAGCGTGGTCAGCTCTGTCTTGCGTACGTGGCCACTCGGGCCAACACTGTTGATATATTCACCAAGGCACTGCTTTCTGGTGATCATCAGCGTTTCTCTACTGTCTTAGGTCTTGTGCCTACTTTATCTCACCTGCTCATTGCGAGACTCTGTTGTACTGTGATCTGTATATATTCCTGCATGCTTACTCTTGCTAAGTTTTGATCACGGTACTGTTTGTTCTCTTTTATATAACACTGCATGTGAACTGGCGTTGTGGCCCTTTACTTTCACTCGGAATGTGTGGTGACTTCGTGATCCACCCCGAGCTTGCTTTGCTTTTCTTGACTGGTCTTGTGACCACTTGTTCTCCCCCACTTTGCCTATGGGGGTGTGTCAGAATGTTATAGAGCTTACTTTGTGTAGGCTATAGTGGGGTAGCCCATAAGGGGTACAACCCAATTAGGGTTAGCACTTGTACCCAACTTCTGTTCAATGCATTCATTCTCGTTTTAGTTTCTAACAGTTGGCAGCATCGCGTGCGGGTAGGGGGCGCTCGCAGGCAGGTAGCGCGCTAGGGCAGGCAGCGCGACGCCGAACGGGCAGTGCAGGGCAGGGCAAAGGCGTTCCGGGCATGTTCGAGCGGGTCGTTTTGGTGGGCCCAAAAAAAAAAAAAAACCGTGTTTTTGCTCTGAAACCATGTCGCGAGAACTGTGCATGAATGATGAATGACTAGCAACAGGGAGATATAAGTATGAAACCCTAATTGGGGTTGTACTCTATACTGACCACCCCACTGTAGCATAGCAAAACTAAGAACATAGAAATATGTTTTGACATGAACTGCCCTCAATCTATGCTTGGAAGTTCTCTCATAGTTCCAACAGCATCCCAAAGTATGTTAGAATACTCGAAAACATATCACGTCTGAGTTGATATGGTCAAATCTTGAGGTGGTGTATCAGATTGAAAAAAAAAAACAAAAACAAACAAACAACAGCAACAACAGTAACATAAACTGCAACAAACAAAAAATTATAATGATTGAACAATCTCGAATGATCGTTTAGAGCTAAAAAATGATTACTTATATAGTGGAGGATTGCTATTGCCAATAGAAATCGTTTTTTTCTATGAATGATGTAGTGTTATGTGGCTGGATGAAATAACTTTAAACATACAATTCTATCAACTGTCTTAACTGACTCTTGAGTTTTGTGTAATAGTGGATTATGAGGATGGAATGCCAACTCGACCATCTGTCCAGCTTAGCACTGTCGTGACTGGAAGATTCATACAAACTCGCTGTGCTGTACTGCTTGGTAAGAAATAACCAATCCAGGGTTGCTTGTGTGGGTCGACTGCCAACTGACACTGGTTGGCAAATGATATTTTCAAGAAGTACTGCACACCACGTCCCGTCCCGTGTCTAGAAAAAAATCGGTGTTGCTTTCCTGGTGATGACTCTCCGAGTCGCACTTTTCTGCCCGTTGCAGGGCAGCACCGTACATATTCGTGTGGTGGATCTATCGCCCCTCGCCACGTCCCCGCTCCACCCCACCCTTCCCACCGACTCTCCAACTACCTTCGTCACCCCCAGCCAACTAAAAACGCCACGCTGTTTTGATTCGTTTGTTTGCATCCGACATACGTTTCCCCTCGATTCCACTTTCATTTGTTGTCTGCGAGTATTCTGATTGCACACGGTATCATTCCCATCATTCACATCTCAGAGCTTGGTATCTGGTATCCCTTCTCAGAGGCACTCTAACCATGCGCATTTCCACGCCGCCTAAAACTCGTTCCTGTGGCCCTGCCGCGAGGCCTCCGTCTGCAAATGTCGCGGCTCGCCTTCTCCTTTTCGCGGTCCTTTCGTTCATTGCCGGCGCAGGCGCTGCTTGCTCCCTTCCCACCGCCAATCGCCCGCTGCCGCGCCGAGATGCCCAGCGTCTGTCCCAACACCTGCGTGGCCTGTCTCGCCTCGCTCGACCCACCCGCGCTCGTCGCTCGCTTTTAAAGCTCAACACCGCCCCAGGCGCCGCCGCGGCCGGCTCGAAATCGACCGGCGCAAGCGCTGCAAGGCCCGTCGTGTTGGAAGGCTCGCAATGTGAGTCGGTTGTCGTGCAGTCGATGAGCTTGCAGGAAGATGGTTGTCGTCCTGTCGGTTGTCGTTCATCACAGTGCCACTTCCAACATCCCAAAACATTTGTCGAGGGGGGTGGCGAACCAAGCTGTGGAGTGGGGACTTTCGTGCCCTTGTTTGGTGTCTGGGTGGATTACGATGGATGAACGCCTTACATAATATTCGGTCGATCTACACCGCACCATGCCTGCGGAACCTACGAACAGATACAGTCTCAACAATGTACAGTGGGGAATGTTGCGATGATGTCTATGCTTTGCATAACGAGCGCTGGCAGTGTGTGCGAGGCTACATTGTCGGTAAAGTTACAACCACTCATACCACCAACCACGCACAGAGTTACCAGCAAGCTTGGATGGGGTTTTTCATGATACATTCCGTACAAGTTCAATCCTCCGCGCATGTGTGTTCCGAGAGTCCGTATTAACACAAATTGTCACGAATAGGGCTGGGGGTCACTCGCATCATAAATACGCTAAACGACATGTCGCATCACAACTAACGGGCCCAATAAACATGGTACGTCGATCTGGCGAATGGCCAACCATCGAGATCGCGACAACATGCGCAGAAAGGACAGTTTCTCACGAAGACCGAGACTTGCACGCGCGCAGGGGCGGCAGGTCCTGAACCGCCCTTCCAGCTCAACTTTCAAGTCATGCTGAGCACATGTGCCGGGAATGAAGACGCAGCCATTACGTGAATATCCTATTTTTCCCCGTCCTGCCGACAGTGGGCGCGCTGGTGCAGCTGCAGGAGGCGTGGGGCGCGTGGGCGGGCAACAATAACGCCACCACGGCGTGCTCTGCGTGGACTGGCGTCACCTGCAGCCCCAACGGGCTCGTCGTTGCCCTGTAAGTCTCGTTGCCCGTCACTCACTGCCCTTGTTGGCCTGAATTGTAGCTCGGTGCTCTGATCACCCCCCATTACCCTAGTTGTCGCCGTTTGTCCTCGTTGCCATGGACACTTTGACTGTTGCTCCTCAGTGCCCGTCTGTGCTCACGTCGCCCTCATGGCTCATCACTGTTTCACCCTTCCATTGGCTGCACACGTGCAATCATCGTGTACTAATCCCGAGTGGCTGGATGTTGTGCATGTGTGGGGGGGTGGGGGGGGTGGGGATTAACCGAGTCGAAATCTGAACGAGGAGGGGGATGGGTCACAAGTGGAGATGGGGTGGTGGGTGGCATGGGGAGGACTGGTCTGGACTGGATACTGGGGCAGGGAAGTGGGTGGGGTTGGGATGTGAGGGAGGGATGGGAGCACTGGCATTGCGTGCCTGCGTGTGTGTGTGTTGGCAGGGATGCAAAGCAATTATCTGAAGTGGATCCTCCCCCCAGTGGCGCCATACCTGCATCCATCACTAATCTTGCCACTCTGCAATACCTGTGCGTCAGCCCTCCTCGCTCCACTACATCCATGTTGGATGGATGCAAGCGCAGTGTGCTTAGAGCACAGCGCGCTTGCAGCGTAGTGCGCATCCACCACGCATACAGCGGATCACGCCTCCACCACATCTGTCCTTCGCTTGCCATGCCCAACACGTGCTTTCTCCTGTTATTTTACTCACTGCCATGCTTCACTCACACATATTCCCGGCCCTGCCCCACTCGCATCATGCTGCCTTCCATGGTTCCGCTGCCTTCTCCACTGTTGTTTCCTCGCCTCTCATCCCCACAGCGATCTGACCTACATTGACCTGGTGGGGTCCATTCCATCCCTCGCTACTCTCACCCGCCTCACCCACCTGTACGTGCCTCATCTGTTGAAGTGAAGAGGACCTTCAAAGCCTGGGAAGAAAGAAAACTACACTAAAAAGGGCAAGAGCTCAAGATATACAAGAAAGGGTAGGCAAATGTGGTGCACCACCCACCAACAATGAGAGGAGATGATCTACACAGAAATCGCTGCTGAATAAAGGCAATATGTACAATGGGATACATATATTCCACACCTTCTAAATTGCCTGCAGCAAGACACGGGTGCAAGCAGCACCCCCTGAACTGGTATATCGCCTGACGGGGTGGAAGCTGAGCAGAGGTAGGAGAGGCACCATCCAGCTATGTTGGAATTGACGAGTCGAGCGACTTGACGCTAGCGTCAAAACGCTTGCATCTGGACACTTGACACACAATCCTGAAACTTTTGACCCAGTTTTGAGGCCCTGGAGGGCAGCAAAAAATATATTCGGGCAGCTAAAAATAGGCTAAAAAGGGGGAGGTGGTAAGGAGAGAGGTAAGGGGTGATAGGAGAGGAACGACGATCTAGCGCCGTAGGAAGAGGAAATAGGTGATCTAACCTAATTCTGGTCAAGAATCTTGAGTAGGGCAGGCGCGGGTAGGGTAGGGGCGGCTGCACCGAGTGCAGGCGCATGTGAGGCTGGGGCGGCTGCTCGAAGGCAGACGCGAGGTGAAGCAGAGGCGCCGTCGCGGGCGCCAGGGGCGGATCCGCAGCGGCCCAGGGCACCGTCGCGGGCGCCAGGGGCGGGTCCGCGGTGGCTCAGGCCACCGTCACGGGCGCCAGGGGCAAGTCCGCGGCGGCGCAAGGCACCGTCGCGGGCGCCAAGGGCGGGTCCGCGGCGGCTCAGGGCACCGTCGCGGGCGCCAGAGACGGGTCCGCGGCGGCGCAAGGCACCGTCGCGGGCGCCAGGGGCGGGTCCGCGGCGGATCAGGGCACCGTCGCGCGCCACGGGGCGCACGACGGACAGGCAGGCAGGCAGGCAGGCAGGTAGATGCCGCGCGCCCGGGGCCGGCACCGGCGGGCAGAAAATCGCCGCGCGCCCTAGGCGCGCGGCAGGACGACATGTAGCGGAAGCAAAATGGTGGGCCCGTTAAGGAAGGCAGCAGGAAGGTTCCTGCTCTGAATACCATGTTGAAATAGTAGCAAGATTGGTTAGGTTGATTGGGCCTAGGCTTAGTAGCCTAGGCCAAAGGAGGTCGAGATGGTTGGAGCCAAGGAGGCGAGAGTCGAGAAAATGAGAAGGAATGATTTCACTATGGAGAGGCTCACAACATATAGGGCAGGACAAGGGGGGGGGGTACACCACCAAGCAGGATATCAAGATACTACACTAACGCTAGACCTACATGCAGTTATAACAGCATAATTCTGACACAGGGCCGTGAAATGCAGAAGTAGTTGACACGAGGTGTTGATTACAGAAATAACTTTCTGTATATCAAGCTGTGGGGCGAGTCGTTTATTATCGAGCGATCAAGGGATTTTGAGCTTCGACCAATGGGGAGCGGCGAAGCAGTTCACAGACTCGTTTTGACTCAACAGTTTTGTATCGACCAGTCACAGCGCGGAATTCCCAATTCCGCGCTGCGAGTTTGCTGCTGCTCGAACTGACGGACACGGACTATGCTGATTGGATAATGTTCGCACTCTTTCTGAACACGCGTCGCGAACAGGTTACGAACAGGTTAGGTTACGAACAGGTTCCGAACAGGTTCCGAACGGGTTACGAACAGGTTACGAACAGGTTCTGAACAGGTTACGAACAGGTTCCGAACAGGTTTTTTAACAGGTTCTGAACAAGCTGACTTCGCTCACTTAGAACGGAATCAATCTGAACTGTTCGGAAAAGGGCGCCAAGCATATTTTACGAATTGGCACCGTTGAAGCTGTTCGCACGGGAAGTTCGAAATATTTTGGCGAAGAGACGTGAACCCGCCAGACCACAAAATGAAGCGGCGGGAGTTTTGAAAAATGTGCGCGCTACGACGAAGGAAGTCACAAACTGTAGAAACAGAAAATGCTAGAATAGATCGCAGTAGGTTCAGTTTAAAATGGTTGTACTTGCTTTGTTCAAAGATAACTTTAGTAAAGGATTTCTCCTGTGCCTGCTGCAAGTACGCTGCCATAGTTTATTCTCTTGACAACGCCAAGGAAGGGACGATTGCTACTACACTTTAGCTGTTGCTCCGACTCTCTCTCTACACACTCGGACCCTTGGATAGGGGCTGACCTCGGTCAGGCACCCAAGGACCCTCGGAGGTGACCCCGTGGAGAGAGTTCTAGTGCACCTAAAGGTCGTTACTAGCTACTTTAGTACGTTTTAAGACTAACACGAGGTTGAGGACAAAGCTGTCAGAACTTGAGCTTAGAATCCATACATTAGTAATGAGCTCGAAGCTCTTGAAGTACATCCAGGATGGGCAAGGAAAAGTTCTGAAGGGAATCGAAGGCAATCTCTAAGGATTGGGGGTAATCCCAAGGCAATCTCCAATTGGTGGGTTGGAGATTACTTGGAGATCACATTTGGGTTTGGTTGGGATGTAGGTGTACACCCAACCAAACACAAAGTGCATATAACACTACGCTAGGATATGGAAAGTACAAATACATAGTGTGAGATTGAGAGCTAACTGCAACAAAAGCGACCGTGCAGATGCAGGAGGGGGTCGCCGTAGGAGGGGATAGAGGAAAGGGAAGATAGATAGAAGGAGTGAACGAGAGAGGGATTAGGAAAATTGGTGTACAAGGATGGGGAAAACGAAGGAAGAAGGGGAAGAAAAGGTTCCGGCCCCAAGATAAACGGGATGAGGGGAGAGGGAGAGGCCGCCCCTGTAATGGGGGGTCAGCAATGGAGGAAGGGTGAGGAAGAACCAACCACAAGGTAAGGGCGGGAGAGAGTGAGAGGGCGCCCCTGTGATGGGAGTGCAGCAAGCCCAACGGTGGAGGAAATGCCCCCAATATTAGTACGCATGATCTGGGCGGGTCGGCCTACATCCGTCACATTTGTACGAGCAGCAGGCCAACACCCAGCAGGCCCGGGTCCCGGCCATGCTCATCCCCAAACCAACACACAATGACCAGAACGACACTCTTCCAGTTCAAGTACAAAGTGTGAGATTGTAGCCTATCGCTAACAATGACCTCTCGACCTTCCCCACTTCACTACATACTTGAGAATCTTCTGTCCCTGATTTTGCCCCACTCATCAATTGTTGGCCCTGACATGTTTCCCTGCCCCCTCGCATTTCACTACTTCTTTGCCTGGCATTGCTCCTTGTACTCAGAGCTATAGGAGTGGCGGGCAGCAGGCTGACTGGCAGTTTGGACGGACTGGCCTGGCTCTCATCCCTCACCAACCTGCAAACATTGTACGCCCTGCAAACACTACATGCCCTGAATGCCACGTTGCTCCAACCCTTACAGACGGCCCATACTCCTATCCTATACCTCAGTGCAGTAAAACGCAAAAAACTCAGAACTCTAAAAAAAACGCAAAACGCTTGGGTATTTTTTTTCCGGGCAGCCCCAAAACAAATATCCAGCGCGCGAAATTGACATTCGCAATTTCGTCGCGACTGTCAATTTCGCCAAAATTGACCCCTCCCAACCCAAATCGACCCATAAAACCAACCCCTCAACCAAAATTCCCAACCCCCCAACCAAAATTGAAGCCAAACTAACACAACCGCACAGCATCTAGAAACTCCAACCAATTCCTTAGAATTTTCCTTCGTAAACCCTATACCCGAAAAATATTCTGTGGGGGAAAATCTTGTTTATGTGTAGTTATGTCCTCTCCCCCCTCCCCCCACGGTCCCCTGTATGTTGTTTTTGCCTGCCCGTACGTTTGTTTTACCCTGCCCGGCCATGCATATTTTTAAGCGTCTCACGGACCCCAAACATGCGTCCTGCATTTGTCCTGCGTTTCTCCACTTAGGTTCTGACCTGATATTGACCCCCCCCTGAATCGGGTAATATATGTAGGAATTGGGTCGGCCCGCCTATTCGGAGCTAAACTAACTAGCTGTCAAAATGGACATGGAGGGTATTATTAGGCTGAACGATAGCACTAATGTTGGGCCTGGCTCAATGTCGAAATATGTAAAAGTGAATCAGGAGGTTGGGTCTTGTAGATTGAGTGCGGTGGCGAATTGGTTGGATATTTTCGTTTCATCAAATTTGAAGGGGAGGGGGGGGGGTCCTTGGCCTTCCTCATGCAGTTAGTGGCAAAGTCAGATCGATTGGCTAAACTGCCGATCAAATCACCAATCTGCGCAGCGTGCAAGGGAAAGAGGGTTTCAGTACCCGACCCGCCCCTGGGTCAACCCGACCTGGGGGCGGTCAGGCCTGACCCGACCCCGCAAGGCCGGGTCGGGCCAGGGTTTTGGAGTCTCCAGCCCAGTGAGACCCAACCCGACCCGACCCGGTACCCGCCTAGCCTGCCCAAATCGGGTCGTCGGGTCGGGTCGGGCCAAATGTTCATGCCTACCTAAGCCAAAACGAATACGATTTTTGTTTTTTTTCTGAATTGTGTGGTGTCTTATTTGACCGAGTACTGACTTAAAACCGAATACGAATACGATTCGAGTACTGACCCAAAACCAAATACGAATACGATTCAAATACTGCCGAATCCAAATCGAATACGATTAAGTGTCTAATAAACAAAAATATTTAGGCTGTGTCGAACGGCTAATGCATGTCTCTCCACGTCTCAATCCCGCACCACACGCTTTCCGTAACCCCTCTCCAGTAACTATCTTGCTTGAGTTTTGGGCACGGCTCTCACAAGGCCACTTGTACACAGACCTATGATGAGAAGGACGTGTCCAGTGTCCTGGACGCTAGCGTCCGAACGCTGGACGCACACCCAGCCGCCTAGAGGACACTAAAAAGACGCTGGGGCGGGCAGGCTAAAAAAACCTTCTGGGCAGGCAATAATAAGTTACAGGGGACCGAAGGACAGGGGTTGGGGACATAGCAAACAATGGGAATTCTAAATGCCCTCGTAATGTCATTTTTTCGTAAAAACCCTGTATGGTTTATGAAGAAGAATTCTTGAAACCCTGCAGGGTTTACGAAGGAGTATTCTGGAAACTCTCTAGGGGTACGTTCCTGGCTCGTGTCAAGCTTCTGGTCAAACTTGGTGTTTTCCGAGACCAGGGGCAAATTTTAGCCGGAAGATCCGAAGTGGGTCTCGGATGACCCACAGTGGGGCCAACTGTGGGGCAGCTTTGTGTCATCCCCGGAAGACCGGAAGTATGACACGAGCCAGGAACGTACCCTAGGGCTTATGAAGGAAAATTATGGAAACCCTCTAGCGTTGGGGGCCTTCGATTTCGATTTGGGGGGGTGCAGATTTCGCGAAATGAACAAACGCATCTAAATCGCGAATGTCAGTTTTTCACGATTTTTTTTCGGTCAGCCCGAAAAAAATTCGGCGGAGCGTCCAGCGTCTCCGGCTGCGTCCTGCGTCCGAACGCGAGCGTCTGGACCCGGGACGCTACCCCGCCTGAGCGTCTTTCTCATCATAGACACAGACTGCCGAAGATGATAGCCGCATGTAGGGAAGGTATGAGGGGGGGTTAATGGTAGAATACCGAATAGAAACGATTACCCCGAATATCCGTTACCCGAATATTCTACAGTAACGAATACTCGTGATGCGAATACTTTCGAATACAGTCGTTTCCTATTTTCTCGAATACAGGTATTTGAACGAATATCAAATATTTCTCGAATACCGAATATTCCTTTACAGGCTTACCTATTCCCCCATGCCTTCTTGCATGCCTCGCTGTCCTCCCACCACCAGGAGTCTGGAATACTTGGAGGCATTCACAGGGGAATTGTCCTCCCTGCACATTCTTTCTCACATGAGAAACCTTCAACAGCTGTAAGTAGACACGAGCAACAATCAAACTCGAAGTGCTTCGAGTCGAACCGACTCGAACCACTCAGTTTGCCAAAACGTAGTGGTTCCATTTGGAGACGAACTGAATTTGGGGCAGCAGATGTTCAACGTCCAGCTTTGGTGGTCAGGCTTCTTCTGGTTCGTCGGGTCAAGCTGTTTGTAGTTTTGACTAAAGCGGGTGATGTTTGGTTCAGCAGCAGCTTTCTTTATTGCGTTGTTGTGGCACGCGAGTGATCTAATCTTCAAATGATCATGAACGTTATTTGTGTTTTTTTATACTAGCATTTGAAGCGATGAAACATTTAATGCTCTCTTGTGGCTAGGATGAACGCTTAGAAAACGCTCTTCCAAGTAAGCAACCACTTTTTTTTTGGGCAGGGGATCTAGGGTAACTTCTACTCCACTCCACCTGAGCACTGAAAACGGAAATGGCAAGAGCTATATAGGATTCACAAAAATGGTACTTTAATAGGACAAATCAATACGGGCAAGAATGAGTAAAATCAGTTGATCCAAGTTTCCTTTCAACTATTGTGCAAATTGTGGCTGTGGCGTGGGTTGGAACTTGGAGAAAAATGGCTGGTGGTTAGGCTTTTTAAGTAAGAAGGCTAGGCTGGTTGGGTTTTCTTGATGGTAAAGGGTGTGAATTGAGGTGGGATGGTAAATCTTGGCTGTAAATTGGGTTGGGTCTTTTAAGATAGGAACGGTGAGATCAGTTGCTTTTTGGGGGTAAAAGCCGCGAAGTCGCGTGCAATCACAATTATAATTTTGGCTGCGATCGCAATATGTTGAAATCGCTAGTGTTTAGCAATGAGGGTTGAAACGCAAGATTTAAGAAGGCAAAGCTTTGGTACTCCAAGTGTCCTTAGTCTAATACTAGCAAGTACACACACCAAAGAAGTGCATATTCACTTTAGAATCGCTGTCATATGGCCGTAAAATGGTTGTATGGCAGCCATGGAGTAGATCTACTAGGGAAGTTGTAAGGAGTTGAAGCAACAATAAACACAAACAATATGCTGGCTATTGCGAGCCACACTAGAGGTTCAACGCCAGTTCAATGCGCTTCCAGGCCGAACCAAACAGTTTGACTCGAACTGCAGTCGGTTCGTGTCGAACAATTTTGGCTGGTACCGATTGGATCGAAACGAAGTGAGGTTCGGGATTATGCCTATGTCTAGCTGCAAGAACCATTACGGTGTCGCATAATGTTTATGTCCTGATTCTCATAATAGAGTGTGTTATGGTGGTGGTCAATACCAAGCTGCAAGCGGCACTGGATTCACTTTTGCTGATTGCATGTGCATGAATGCAGGACACTCACTTCGCTCACCAATGCCACAGGGGAGATACCCAGGGAGATCCGATATTTGACTGCCCTCACTTCACTGTAAGGTGGACAAAACATCCAGGATGGGACAGATGAAGCAAGTTTGTTCATGCGCACGGTTACAGCTTTTGTATTCTCTCGCCCAACATGGCAGAAGCTATCCGCTTGTCTGTGCAACATGCTCATGCCTTCTTCCCTGCAGAGACTTATCTTTCCTTCGTGCCTTGGAGTTTCCCGAGTGGGTCACTCATCTCTCCAACCTTCAGTACCTGTGAGCATCACCTCCTCCTGCTCCACTCTCATACTGCCCCGTTTCAATTCGTCACTCACATTCTCCGGGAGGCACGAGAACGACACGTGCCATTGCTGTGAGAAGCTCAGTGGGATACTCTCTCAACAGCCTTCCTTTGTTCGCTTGGCAGGAGCGTGGAGACGGATGATCCACGCCGGCAGGGGGTGGTGCTGGAAGACATGTCTGAGCTCACCGCACTCACCAGCCTGTGAGCTCAGCGTGCGCAGGTATGGGGGTGCAGCGAGCATGCATGCTCGTACTAATCTCTTAACTAGGTGAGTATACTCTATTGTAGTTTGCATCATGTCTACCTCGTTTGTGGTTAGTACTTACTGCTAGTTTGGTGTTGGAAACGCAGATGACATGTGCGGGTGTGCCTCTTTAAAAGCGATATGGATGAACACACCCTTACATGCACCATCTCAAGTTCTCTATTGTATGTGTGTTGTATCGGCGTCTCCGTGGCGCAAGAAAGGTACATCCCCACAAGTGAACAACTCATGCGTCCACCTGTTGCCTGCTCCCATGCTCTGCAGGTCCTTCAGTGGAAACAACCTGGAGGGCCACCTGCCAAAGAGCTGGTCCACTCTGGTCAATCTGCAAGAGCTGTGAGTCACTGCTTGCCATACCTTCCTGCCATGCTGCCATGCTACCATGCAGCATTTGTACCATGGTGTCATGCTTCCCCACTACCATGTTGCTGGCAGCAGCATGAACCCCATGTGCGTTGCCCCATGCCAATGTTTATTCTGTAACTGGCAAGCATGTCTTGTTTCGTTCTCATCCCAGATATCTAAGTACTAACCACCTCCGAGGATCCATTCCCGCAACATACTCAGCCCTAACGGCCCTCGTTTCAGTGTAAGATTCCTGCGTCCTGCCCCCTTCCATTGTCGGACCCCCATTTTGTCTTTGATTACTCCCTGTGTCTTCTCACTCACTGTACCATGGTTCATTTGTTCTACCCCCCTCCATTGCAGAGACCTTTCGTGGAATTCTCTTTCTGGTTCTATACCCCCAGTATTCGGCACCGACGTCCAAACGCTGTATGCCATTCTTCGCTCCGCTCCTGCTCCACTTTTCCAAGCCAAGCCCCAATACCAGCCTCTTCTTTCTCAACATTTACATGAGTCAGCACGCGGCCTGTGCTTCTCTTCCCATCGTGCATTCCCTGTTGAACCATCTTCTATGTTGGCTTGGTTGAACCTTTGTGTCCTTAGTCTATGTTGACGTGTCCAGTATCTTGGGTGCCAACGCTGGATGCTGAATTCCAGAAACTGTGTATGCTATGAAAATGGTCAGGCGGGCAGGCAAGGAAAACTTGGGGCATGCAAAGTATACTGGGGGGAGGAGGGGGGGAGATGGGGACAGGGGATAGTGGGGGAGGAGGATGGGGGGGGCTTGTGAATAAGCAGAAATGCATTGTCGCCAGAATATGCCGAATATTCTACACTTTGCTAAGCTATTGAGCTATGTCTCTAGGCAATTGAGAGCTGGATTTCTATGTTTAGCAGCTGGACACAAGATCATGAATCCTTACAGGCGGATTTGAGACTTGCGGGGGAGGATATGTTGTGGCATTAAGGTTGGTTTTACCAGTTCGGAGGGGGAGGAGGGGAGGGGGGAAAATGAAGGAGTAGACATGAGCAAGTACTGAACTGGACCAGGTTCGACTCAAACCGACTCTAATTGGTTGATACGTTCAATCAAGCCGAACTGGTTAGAGTCGAACTGGATGTTGAGTTCGGTTCTTGCTCATGTCTACTTTCCCCCCTTGAACCGGGCAGTGAACGTTGAAATCAGTCACTGCCTCTCCTGTCTACCTGCCTATCCAGATACCTGGACCACAATACCTTCGGTGGACCCATTCCACCACACTTGGCACTGCCCAACCTCGTTGAGCTGTGAGATACTCCATGTTGGCACATTCTGTTCACACTCGTCATTGGACCTCCATTCCTGTTCATCCCTTAGCTCCCCTCTGACCTGCACTCTCTGCCTAGCTCCATCTTTTAATTCATGCCCCAGTCCCTTTCATTCCGCTGCTCTGTGCAATGTTTCGTTTGGGATGTCCTGGCTGCAGTCAATTATCTGACAATCTGTTCACAGGAGGCATCCCCAACACCTTCACTAGGCTCACTGGCATGAGAACTCTGTATGTCTCTTCCCACGCTACGTACCTCTTCCAGTCTGCTGTGTACTGCTGTCATAACGAGATTCGCCTTTCCAAGGTGTACACGAGCATGAGTCAAGTAAAACTCGTCTTGTTTTTCATTGACTCGATCGAGTTTGTCGAGTCGAGTCTAGTTTTACTCAGACGGGTTTTCACTCGTGCCTGACTCATCACTCGACTATGGATGGGTTGTTTTTACTTGGCCTGAGTCTCTTTTTACTTGTCCCGAGTCGAGTAAAACTCAACTAGTGGCACCCTTCCCCCCTTTTACACCCCCCCCCCCCCCCCCCCCCACACCCCCCCTCCGCACCCCCCACACCCCCTGTTTCCCCCCACGAGCCGGTCGCACCACCTGCTTCACCCATGCTAGTGCTAGTTGCCTCTGATTTGTGTGTCTGCTCTGCTTGACATGACAGAGACATTGGTTTCAACAGTCTCACCTCAGGCCTTCACGTGGTGGCTCAGATGACATGGCTCGCAAACATGTGAGTGTTATTCCCTCTTCGCCACCTCAGCAGACTCCGTTTGACTCTTGTGTAACTTTCCCTCACTTCCCATCGTCCACTTTGGCTCCCTGCAACACCTGAGACACTTTCCTGAACCCTGGATGTGCAGACTCCTCGATAACAACAACATATCCGGTGTGCTTCCAGCGTCCTTAACAGCCATCAAGGGCCTCGCATCTCTGTGAGTCTGCTCCATCCACCCCTCACCTCGTCATATTAACAACCCCTTCGTACCTACCTGGTGGAATGCAACAATGGCTACGGTTCTAACTACCCGTTTTTTAAGTGTGCCTGAATAGTGTTGGGTTGGGGCCCCTTATAGAACTAGTTCACCTCCCTTTTTCTCCATTGTAATTATGCATATATATATATCCACATGATGGTCTGCCTCCTTGTGGGCTCGGCTGGCATTCGACGAGACATTGAAGGATTGCGCGTTGCTAGTGTCGGTGGCTGCATTAGAAGGTGGTTCCGCCGTACAATCGATAATAAAAAAAGGACTTCTTGAACGGGAATATACTGGGCGCAAGGGGCTGATCGATAGAGTAACAGGTGAATATCTTAAGGTCGACTTAATGTGGCCAAGTAGTGAGCCAGGTTTGGTCGATCTAGGCTTTACATTCCATGTGTGGTTGGAGTTTCTACTTGTAGTGCGGTGCAATGTAGTAAGGTGCTGTAAATTTGAAGGTGTGTTCAGTTTGGGGGTTTATTTGCCCTATCTCGGCTCGGCAAATTGGGGTTGGCAAACATGCGTGTCAAAATCGGTAGCGAGTGGCGATTTAGTCGCGCAAAAAACACAACAAAGAAGGCTTCCGTTGAGTGTAAAGCGTATGTACGAGCGTATGGCATATGGCCTATATACGGAGCATGTATATGCCATACGCTCCCAGCCAGGAGCCTATATGCCTACTTAGATGGGCAGGGCACATGAACACCTTTACTAACCCGTTGTTTTGTGCGCACTTGTTCTCAAACGTTGGCAGTGGCCTGCACCTGAATGGGTGTGCTTTTTTCCAGACACCTCTTCTGCATGAATGAGCTTCATCATCTCTCCAGCACACATGTATCTTAACCCTCAGACTTTTAAATAACAACCACTTCACTGGAACCTTCCCTCATTCAATTTTGCTCCACACGAACCTTCAACGCCTGTAAGTAGAACATTGGCTTCTCCCCTCAAACAAAAACTGGCGTTTTTCATGGTGGAAGAAATGATGCCATTTGCATCAAATTATTGCGCTCACTCTTTCGTCCATAACTGAAAACGTATCTGGCACTCGCAATCGGAATGGCAATGGCAGGGAACTGAGCAACAACAGTTTCACCGGTACCATCCCCCACAAATTGACCAACCTTTACAGCCTGCAAAACATGTGAGTAGCATCGTTGCCCGGTCCAGCATCAGGTTGTGAGCAGTTGTGAGTGCACCAGCTTGCAAAATAAAGGGTTGTCCCTGGATGCGTTATGGGACCTAAACGGACGGGACATGAAAAGAGAACAAGGATCGCCAAGTAAGGTAGTGGCTCGGGGTTGAGGATCCTGTAGCAAGTCTGCCCATGCTCTGGCCTTCTACGTGGAAATGTTAGGTTACTAACTTTTAATGCTGTTGATACCATACTCTACCGTTGCCCAGTAATCTCAATGAAAACAACTTCCGTGGAACTATTCCATCCGGCCTGTTTCAGCTATCCTTGCTGTCTTCGCTGTAAGTCGCTCAACAGCTCCATCACCCCTGTTTTTAAATATTTTTCTTCAACCTTTTCCCCTGCTGAGTATGCATAGAAATGTATACAAGTATCCCTGACAAAAGTATGTCAAATGGAACTTTGCGAGAACTCCACTGCCAAATACTCAATCAGGGAATCCGCATGCCTGCTATTTGTTTTGGATCTTGCCACTTTCCTGAACCTTCAAATTTCTTTCCAAGGTCACTGTTTGGTAGAGGCCCACAATGCGTGCATGTGATTTGGCAAGTCTCTTGTGTTCCTAACACAGCCAATCCTTCCCTCTGTTGCCGCTCCTCCGCAACACAGGCAAGTAGCTAGCAACTTCCTTTCTGGGGGCCTCCCACGGACTCTCAGTGCCCCCACTTCTCTTCACACCCTGTAAGGGGTGCAACCACTGGGTGCCACCACTGGGTGCCATCACTGGGTGCAACCACTGGGTGCCACCACTGGGTGCCACCACTGGGTGCAACCACTGGGTGCCATCACTGGGTGCTGCCACCATTGTGTGGGGCCATGCTTTTCCCTTCGCGCGTAACTTTCATGCCCCTGAAATCTTCATTCTCTCCTATTGTACCCTGCAGTAGCCTGGCAGGAAATGGCTTCACGGGCTCCCTGCCAAACTTCTCGCGCTGGAAAGTCAGCTGTGCCCAGATGTAAGCCTCCCCACACTCTCTTCCTCCCCTTCCCCCGCTGACACCCCCCCTGTCCCACTCTCAATATCGCTTGCTCAATCCCGTTCCTAACACCGTCGAATTCGTGCTGGCCATTTGCATGTATTGCACTGAATTGCACCCATGGTTAGCAGTTTAAGTCATTCCAGTCATGTCAGTTGCTCTTGCTGCCCCCTCGCGTGTGTTGTGGCTCAGAGATCTCAGCAACAACAACTTCACGGGGTCTATTCCTGACTCAATCTCCACACTCACCACCCTCGATGCCATGTGAGCCTTCTTGGGTTGCAACGTGCCCTTCAGCACCTGTCATCATCAGCATACGACCATCAAAACCATTTTCATCTGAACACAACACAGTGAGTTGCCATGCCCATTGCCATCTTTGAGCCTGGAGTTGCAGAAGAAAGGTAGCAGTGGCTGGCAGCTTATGCCAACTTTGAGACTGGTGCTTGTGTCTTAGCTGCGTATGCTTACCGTGCACTTCAACCAATGTACCCACTGCATTGCCATGGCCCTGCAGTTTTCTGAACAACAACCAACTGACAGGCACCATTCCCTCTGCCATCTTCACCATGACCAATCTCAAATACCTGTCAGCATCAGGGGTTTACAGCTTCTCTTACCAAGTGCCCATCAAGCGTGTCCACCTCTGCCCAAAGATTCTTTCCAGCATCAGCCTTCACTGCTCTTGCTTGCGTACGCCACTTCTCATTGCAACGTCTCTCTGCCATTACCCTCTCCAGCTACATGGCCAACAACCATCTGAGTGGAAGTCTGCCAGCTGCCATCAGTCAACTGCAGAAGCTGGAACAGATGTGAGTGCTATTTGCCTTCCTCAGCATTTCTTGAGAATGTTGGCAATGTAGAAGCTTTACGTGCAACAAAATCAAGGCAAGTTTAGCAAACGCTATTGCAACACGTATTTTTCAAAAGTTTTGCCATGAAGATTGAAGTTTTAAAACACGCAATCGTGCCATCGCCAATCCACCCTAAACCCTATCTATTGTCAGTAGAGTTTGCTCTTTGAACCACCTTCCGCACCTTCCTGCCTCCTACCACTGCTCTGCTTGCCCCCGCAGCTGGCTGGACAACAACAAGATTGAGGGCCCTCTGCCATCTGGCCTGTGCTCGCTGCCCTGGCTGTGGCGCATGTGAGTGGCTGTTGCGCATGTGAGTGGCTGTTGCGCATGTGAGTGGCTGTGGCGCATGTGAGTGGCTGTTGCGCATGTGAGTGGCAGGGGCATATCCACGTGTCTATCACACGGGAGTGAGAAATTTGACTGAAAATGTTGAAACACTTGCACAAACCGATGGCCAAACATCCTCCAGTAGACTGTTGCTAACTGAAAGCAAGTTACACTCCTCATTTGTGATTTTGAATTGTAAGGAAACATATCAGCCAGTTTTATCTCCGTGCCTATGCCATTTCGTATGAGTCTAATGAATAGTGTGGCATTACGTGTGTTGGGCTGCTGGCAGCCTGGTGAGCAACAACTACCTGTACGGACCCCTTCCGGACTGCCTCTTTGACAAGTGTATCAACCAAATGTGAGCCAACCGCGTGTAATTGATTCCCAGTCCCATGCATGCAGCAGCAATCAACCTCAACATGGTCAGTCCAATGAGTGACGCAAGGCATTGGTTCATTGTGGTAGAATATGATGGGACTACCTCCAAATGCTCCAGCCCCATTTTCTGCCTTCCGCCTGGCCCCCCGTGCTCCCCCCAGCGATGTGAGCGGCAACAGCCTGTACGGGCGCATCAACCGCAACTTCAAGAGCATGGTGGCGGATGGCGGTGCGCTCATCAACTTGGCTCACAACTTCTTCTTCGGTGATGCCCTGCTCCTCGCTGCCGGCTGCCAGGTCTGCCCCGCTGAGATCACCCAGCCCAACAACCTCGTCCTGGGGGACACCTTTGATGTGTTTGCTGGCAAGTGCGATACTGCTGCTGCCACTGGGCTGCGAGATTTCTCCATGGCGGGGGCGGGCAAGGAGGCGAGGGTGAGTGTGGCGGGCAACTGCCTGACGCTCAGCCCGGGCGCGGAGTGCGCAGCCAACGCCACCCAGCGCAGCACGGCAGCCTGCCAGGCGTTCTGCAGCATCACGGACAACGGCCCGTGTGACGGCCATGGGGAGTGCGTGCCGCCTGCCCCCGCCTCCCCCTCCAACTTCTCCTGCCTCTGCCATGCCGGCTACTCTGCCATCGACTCGGGCAACGGTTCTACCTGTGCCATCGTCAACTCCACCACCACCACTGGTGAGAGAAGGAATCCTCAAGTTAAGAGAAGAATTTGTATTCGCTCAAGTGAGCGGCAAAGACATACATTGAAGAGAGATATGAAGCAGAGATTAAGCCTAGAATGAACATTGGGCCAACTAGCCTAGTGGGGCTGGTTGGACGGCAGGCAACTGTGTATGGTTGGCCACCACCAAAGTGAGGTGGTAGGACAACTCACTAAAGTTGGCTGTCCTTCACATGTGACGACCAACAAATCAAAGTTGGTCCAGTACTCTACTTCTCAAATAGGGTTTACCTTGATTTCAGTGTTTATCCAATATCCACCCAGCACTAGAACATGTAGGCATGAGTATGCCTGTCTGCACATCCTCACTAACAATGTGGCTACACTTCGTTGCCATCTTTCTCCATATTTCTGATCCTCTTTGAATTGGATGTGTTCCCCACCCATCTTCATTGATGTTTCCTCCCCCAACTACTTGCCCTATGCCACCATACCTCTGTCAACTCCTCTTCACCCCAACACTACCTTTGCCATCTTACTGTATGACAGCAACCACTTCTTTTGCCATTCCCTCTCCCTTCTTCCTCGGCAGTTTCGTCGCTCTCCACGGGCGCCATAGTGGGCATTGCTGTGGGCTGCTTTGCTGGCTTCGTTCTGCTGGCAGCTGTGCTCACATGCCTGCTGTGGCCCCACGGACCAAGTGAGACCCCCACCCTCGCGCCCATGCTGCGTTACTCTTGCACTCCTGCACTCCTCTTCCTCTGCTCCTGGCCTTCCTCCATTCTTCCGCTCCTATCCCTCCCTCCGCCTCTCACCCGCCCCATGGTTCATCGTGCGTGTGTTGTTGTGTTGTGCAGAGAAGTGGCAGGGGCTGGAAGTGTGCGAGCAGTACTCGCTGCAGCAGATGGTGAGGGCCACAGACAACTGGTCCAAGGAGAACGAGCTGGGGAGGGGCGGCTTTGGCATCGTGTACAAGGGGTACTCGCCACAGGGGCAGCTGTGGGCCATCAAGCGCTCCACTGTCATGACCAACGACTTTGAGACAGAGGTGAGGCCCAACCTGGGAGCTGCTGCACTGTGCGCTGCTGGTGAGACATCCTCTCACACAGTGAGGAGTGAGCCTTCCCCAAGATGCATAGTCAAAAGGCATATCCAGGGCTAAACCCTCTCCTCGTTTTCCCTCTGAATGCATCATCTGCAGGTGCGAGCCATGGCGACGCTCAACCATGTGAATCTGGTGCGGCTGCTGGGCTTTTGTGTGGATCACAATGTGGAGACGGGCAAGCAGGAGCAGATCTTGGTGTACGAGTTTGTGGGTAACAGAGACTTGCACCACCACATCTTCAAGAGAAAAAGTAAGTTTTACGATTCGTGCCTGAAAATTGGGTTACATGTTTTCCCAAGGACAGCAGGTTAGAAGCGCTATATGAAAAACCACTATGTATCTCTCAGCTCAGAACACTTGCAGTACACCTCACAACGCTCTCTCTGTTCTCTGCACGTCCTTCTATGACTCTCTCTTCCAGGCCCTCTCTCACTGCGGCAGCGACTGCGAGTGGCACAAGGAGCAGCAGAGGGGCTGGCATACCTGCATGGGTTTGAGACGCCCATCATTCACCGCGACATCAAGCCCGCTAACATCCTTGTGACGGCCGACATGCACGCCAAGGTGGCTGACTTTGGGCTGCTGAAGCTCCTCACCCACTGCGAGGGGGATGCGACAAGAGTGGCGGGCACTCCCGGCTATGTGGACCCAGATTACAACCGCACACACGTGGTTACCACCATGAGTGATGTCTTCAGGTTGGATTGCTTCTGGAGTGAATGCTTGTTTACAGCCCCGCCTGATTTATCTTGCAATTCCTTCCTCTGCATCTTTTAACCTGCATCGAAGGTTGTGTATGTTTTCATGCTTCACACCTGCCGGCAGCTTTGGCATCGTGCTTCTGGAGCTGTTAACTGGCTCGCCACCAGTACACAACCAGTCACACATCAGACATTGGGTACGTGCAATGGAAATGTGAACTGTGAGGTCATTTTTTGTCTGCTATGGAGCGAACATCTGATTTGTATCGCACTATGATGCGTCCATTCACCTCAGGCAATAGCGAAGGTGGAGGCGTTTGAGTTGGATGAGCTCAAGGACAGCAAGCTGGAAGCAAGCGAGGAGGCCATAGTGGCCTTGGCGGACCTCGCTCTGGACTGCGTCAAGATGCCGGGCACTCGGCGGCCCGACATGAAGGAGGTTGCTCACAGCCTTGGCGCCCTCATTGAGAAGTTCTGCCCTAACAAGGAGCCCTGCGAGTTTGTAGAGGAACACTCTTCCTCAGGAAGCCAATCCAGCCAGCCTGGGGCTCCCTCTAGAGGGTCTCTAGCGTCCAGTACCATCAGTAAGAGTGACATCTCCTCCACCGGCCTTGGTTCCAGGTTCTCTGTGCTAAACAGCTGGGTGCAGTCTCGATTCACTGGAGGCTACTAAGCCAATGCAGCATCCACACCATGTTTTATTGCATGGGCTGAACAGCAAGCAGGTTTATGATGATGATCTGCCTTCGCTAAGGTTGCATTCCTACGAGCAGGCCTTGCAAAAGGTGTTGCACAATCCTGTGCTACATTGGCTCTTCGTGTCACAGTTGAAGCTGTGTTTTGGAGGCCCTTAAAGTCGGCCTTTTTATGCTTATGTGGCTTCAAAGGGCTGATTTGAAGGAGTCCCTCCTCATAGCCCAGCAGTATCTCTCACCCCTTCCCCCAGTCCACCCGTATCTTCTGCCCCGCCTCCAGCCCACCTGTTTCTCTCAGTCCTTTCCCCAGCCCTCTTGTTTCACTCGCCCCTCCCCTTAGCCCACTTGAATCTCTCGCCCTCCCCCCCAGCCCACTTGTTACTCTCGCCCTCCACTGGCACTGCCCGTTTGCTTCTCTCACCACTCCCTTGTCGTCAAACTATATTTGTATATGTTTGGTAGGCTAGGTTGCATATATTATGTTACACTAAAGAGGGCACAGCTCTGGTTGATATAAGCCCTGTATGCCATCCTGCTAGTCATTCTCTTCAGTACATTTTCTAACATGGTATCAGTTAGGTTGGGTCTCTGCTTTCGCTCGCCCGTTCCTAGCCTGCCCCTAACCTGCACCGTCTCCCTTTGGGTTTCCCATGCCGTCCGTAGCGCCATGCAATTGACCGCCATAGCCGCCGCATGTCCTGGCCGTAGCCTCGCACCACCGCTTGTGCTAGCAGCTGCCTGCTCGCACGACCGCGCACACTGGTGCTCCCGCCCCATGCAGCCACGTCGCCGCTTGAGCTCGCACAGCCACTGCCGCCCAAGGTGCTGCTACTGCTAGCGCCGCCGCTGCTCGCGCCTCCGCCGTTGCCTAGGCCACCTACGCCACCGCCGCTGCTGCCTAGGCCTCCGCCGCTGCCGCCTGCGCCACGCCACTACTGCCTGTCAAAACATATGCTTGTTATTATCTAGGCTATATTGGGGTTAGCCTTAGAGGGTACAAAAACAATCTCGACACTCTAGTCTTGTACACCAATCTTGACCCAATCAACCACCTTTTTCCCTATGACTTAGTCTCAACATGGTAACTAGAGCAGGAGGTCTCTAGGACCTAAGAATCGGGCCCACCTAACTGTGTTACCCTACCTGCCTTGCCTACAGCCCGCGCGCGCCTCGGCTGCAGCGCGCGTCATCCTTCTTTTTTTTTTCGCGCGCGCCTCGGCTGTTAGCGCGCGCGCCCCTGTTTTCAAAGCGCGCGCCACTGCTAGCCCGCGTCGCCCGCGCAGCTCGCGTCGAACCCGCGCAGCTCACCGCCGCGCGCAGCCCGCCGTCGCGTGCAGCCCGCCGTCGCCCCACGCGCCGCGTCTGTCGCCAGCGCGGCCCGCCGCTGCGCCGCGCGTCGCGTCGGCCGCCTGCGCGGCCCGCTACTGCTTAGCGTGCTGCTTTAGGGGCTCGCGTGCGGCCGCTCCTGCCTGCTGCCTGCTGCCTGCTGCCTCCTGCCTGCTGCCTGCTGCCTCTGCCTTTGCTTGTGGCCTGGTGACTGCTGCCTCTTGTCTGCTGCCTGCTGCCTGCTGCCTCTGCCTGGAGCCATTATGACGACGCCTAACGTTCTAGCGTTCGAGCCTGACGGTCGCCCCATAGAGTTCGCTGTGTGGTTAGACGATCTCCAGCTGTTCCTTCTGAGCGATGCCAAAGAGGGCGTTTCCCTGTTCGATTACGTATCTGGCACTGCCGTTGCTCCTGCTGCCGATGCTCCTGCTCTCGAACGCTCACAGTGGCAGACTCGCGATGCTGCTGCACGCCTCGCTATTAGGAACCACCTGCCGATTACTGCGCGTGCGCATTTCAGCCAGCACAAAACTGCTAAGACACTGTACGACGCTGTAGTTGCGCGCTACTCCTCCCCGGCCACTGCAGCCATAGGTCGACTCATGCTACCTTACCTGTTCCCCGATCTTTCCTCGTTCACCACTGCTGAGGACCTCATTTCCCACCTGCGCGCCACTGACACTCGCTTTCGTGCCGCCCTTTCAGCCGAGTTCTGCGCCGCAACCCCCCCCCCCCCCCATGTACTTCACTCTCTATTTCCTCGTCACCCGCCTCCCTGACACTCTTAGCTCAGTCAGGGACCACTTCCTAGCGCTCGACCCCCCCACTCTCACTGTCGACGACTTCGAAAAGCACCTCCTAGCAGCAGAGAAGAACATCCTCGCTGTAGGTGCTGCTCGTGGCACTCCGCGCTCTCCCCTCTTTGAGGGGTGCTCCCCCTTCCCTCTCACCCCCTCCTACGCCTCCGCAGCTGCTGCTCACGACTACCTTGGTGCTGAGGAGGTCGGGGCTGCTTCCGCTCCTAATGGGAAGCGTCGCAGCGGCAGGGGCGGCAAGGGTGGCAGGGGAGGTGGGGGTGGCGGTGGAGGTGGCGGTGGTGCAGGCGGCGGGGGAGGTGGAGATGGTGGGGGTGGTCGTGGGGGTGGTGGTGGTGGAGGTGGTGGTGGGGGCGGCGGGGGCACTGGGAGCGGAGGAGGTGGCAGCGGCAGCAGTGGGGGAGGGGGGAGCGGTGGTGGCGGTGGTGATCCGGGCCAGCAGCAGTCGCAGCAGCAGCAGCAGCAGCGTCAGCGCTAGACCCCCACTTCCCAGCAGCTTCTTGACTGGTACGCCGGGCGTGGGGCTTCAGGGGGTCCTGGTCGCTGCCCCTATATCATTCGCACAGGTCCCCGCACTGGTCGCCAGTGCACAGGGTTTCACACTGAGCAGTGCTGCTTCGCTGGGCTTAGTCACGCCTGGCGCGCCAAGTTTCCTGATGCTACTGAGTTCCCCAACTGGGCAGACCTGCTTAGGCGTGATGTACCTATCTTTGATCTTGACTATGAGGCAATTCTTGCTGCTATGTATGCATTGACTGTTAGTGCTGAGGGTGACTGCTACTTGTGTGTGCCGCCGGATCCTGGTATAGCCCCTGGTATAGTCCGTGCAGCACTAGGTGCTTGTGAGTCTGCTCCCCTTGGTACTGCGCCTGCACAGGCCTTGCACACCTTTACACTTGACTCTGGTGCTTCCCGCTGCTTCTTTCGTGACAGTACCACAGTCACTCCCATCCCTGCACCTGTTCCTGTCTCACTGGCTGACCCCTCTAGGGGCCCAGTGCTTGCATGGTCTTCCACTGTGCTTCCGTGTCCGGCGGTCCCGTCTGGTGAGCTGTCTGGTCTCCACCTCCCCTCGTTCTCTACGAACTTGGTGAGAAACGCTGTCCTCCACGATGCGGGTGTTGACACCTTCACCCCTGGCTGGCAGCGTGTGGCGATCTGCACGTGCTCCCAGATCGGCTGCCACCTGGCCACGTTCACCCGTGCGCCAGGGTCCAGTCTGTACACCCTCACCACTGCGTCACGCTCCACCCCTTTGTCTCCCCAGCTGCACGCGTCTGCTCAGGTAGCTACCCAGTGTGAGTGTCGCCGGCTGTCTCACGACACTCTCCTGTGGCACCACCGCCTAGGCCACCCCTCCCTGCCTCGCCTTCGTAGCATGCACTCTCGCTTTCTGGTCTCTGGTCTTCCCAGGTCTCTGCCTGCCCTCCCTCCCTCGCCTGCGCCGCCCTGCATTCCTTGCGTCGAGGGGCGGCAGCGCGCCGCTCCTCACTCCTCCTCGTTCCCTCCCACAGAGGCTCCACTGCAGACTCTCCACCTGGACGTGTGGGGCCCAGCCCGCGTCCGTGGACAGGGCCACGAGCGGTACTTCCTGCTGGTTGTCGACGACTACACGCGCTACACCACGGTCTTCCCCTTGCTGCGCAAGGGGGATGTCCCTGATGTTTTGATCCCCTAGATCCGCGCTACTCGTCTCCAGCTCCGCGAGCGGTTCCAGACGGACTTTCCTGTCCTGCGTCTGCACTCTGACAGAGGTGGTGAGTTCTCCTCAGCCCTCTTGGCAGCCTTCTGTGCGGAGCACGGCATCCGCCTGACTTTCACGCTTCCGGCCTCTCCGCAGCAAAATGGGGTTGCTGAGCGCCGCATTGGCTTAGTCATGGAGGTCGCTCGTACCTCCATGATCCATGCGGCTGCCCCCCATTTTCTGTGGCCGTTTGCGGTCCGGTACGCCGCGCATCAGCTCAACCTTTGGCCCCGTGTCTCCTTGCCGGAGACCTCGCCCACACTGCTGTGGACGGGGAAGGTTGGCGACGCGTCGCGTTTCCGGGTCTGGGGTGCTCGTGCCTTTGTCCGCGATACCACCGCGGACAAGCTCTCCCCTCGCGCCATTCCTTGTGTCTTCCTTGGCTTTGTCCTTGACGCGCCTGGCTGGCAGTTTTACGACCCCACCTCGCGCCGTGTCTTTGCATCTCAGGACGTCAACTTTGACGAGTCGGTCCCCTTTTACCGCCTCTTCCCCTACCGCACTGCTCCTAGCCCCCCCCCGCCGCTCTTTCTCGCCCCAGGTCCTCCCCAGGTAGACCCCCTCCCCGTGCCAGGTCCTTCTCCTTCAGGTGTCTCTCACGTAGACCCCCCCGCACCTGCGCCTGTTGAGGTCACTGGTGACTCCGGTCCTGCTGGGAGTGGTGCTGTCCCTGGGGGTGCGGAGCTTGGGGGTGCTGAGTCTGGGGGCGCTGAGCGTGTGGAGCCTGGAGGTGCTGAGCCTGCGCGTGAGGAGTCTGGAGGTGCTGCGTCTGGGGGTGCTGCGCCTGGAGGTGCTGCGTCTGGGGGTGCTGAGCCTGCGTGTGCGGAGCCTGGGGGTGCTGAGTCTGAGGGTGGGTCGCCTGAGGGTTCTGAGACTGCTGTTACGCGGTCTCCTTGGAGTAGCCGTCTTCGTCCGCGTGTGCCCCTCACCTCCCAGCAGCTGCACGACTGGTACGGTCGCCGTCAGCGTCGCACTTCTGCACCTCAGGGCTCTACTGCTGGGGGTTCTTCTGCTGGTGTCGCTGGTCCCGGAGGTGCTCGTACTGGGGGTACTGGAGCTGGTGGGGCTGGCGGTGTTGCTGCTGGAGGTACTGGAGCTGCTAGAGGTGCTGGAGGTGCTAGAGCTGCTGAGGGTACTGGGGCTGCTGGCGGTGTTGGACCTGCTGAGGGTCCTGGAGCTACTGGCGGTGCTGGAGCTGCTGAGGGTACTGGAGCTGCTGGAGCTGCTGGAGCTGCTGGAGGTGCTGGAGCTGCTGGAGGTGCTCGAGATGCTGGAGGTGCTGGAGCTGCTGGTGCTGGTGGCACTGCTCGGCCGCGCCTGTTCTTCGCTCCGCCGTCTCCGTCGTCTCAGCCACCACCTGACTCTGCACTTCGCCAGGTTCTCAGTCTTCCCTCGTCTACTGGTCTTCCGTTACAGCCTGGCTCACCGCTGCCTGCTCCTTCTCCGTACACAGAG